GCTTCACCTCTAGGCAAAAGCAGCAGCAGCTACGAAGACGCAGCAGCAGCAGCAGCAGCAGCAGCAGCAGAGGAAGCAGATACAGAAAAGCAGCAGAAGAAGAAGCGTAAGAAAAAATATTTGAAGCAGCTTACAGCGTGATGCAGCAGCAGCAGCTGCTGCTGCTGCTGCAGCAGAAGCAGCAGCAACTGCTGCAGCAGCAACTATTGCAATTGCTGCAGCACCACATGCTGCAACTGCACCAGCAGCAGCAGCAGCAGCAGCAGCAGCAGCAGCAGCTACTGCTGCTGGTGTGCGCAGAGCAATGAACTTTTATTTTGTCTCGCCAGTGTCTACTACACTTGTTGGAATTTGTGAGGGTTTAGGGTTTAGGGTTTAGGGTTTAGGGTTTACGGATCTTTAGGGTTTAGGAGTTGATATGTTAAGGTTTAGGGTTTAGGGTTTAGGGTTTAGGGTTTAGGGTTGTATATGCAGCTTCTGCTGCAGGCAGCTGCATCCGAGTTTGCTGCATTTTGCTGCTGCAGCTCAGGGGCTAGGGTTTAGGGTTTAGGGTTTAGGGTTTCCTAGGGTTTAGGTTTTCTTAGGGTTTAGGGTTTCTTAGGGTTTGGAGTTTAGGGTTTAGGGTTTAGGGTTTAGGGTTTTCGATAGCACAGTAGAAACTGCCGTTTAAAAGAGGGGGTTTCCCCTGAGGGTTTAGGGTTTAGGGTTTAGGGTTTAGGGTCTAGGGTTTAGGGTTTAGGGTTTAGCGTGCAGCAGCTCGCTGCAGCATGGAAATAAATTATTGATCGTCTCTGCTAAATATAAAATAATAATAAAATAAATAAATATATACATTTTTTAGGGTTTAGGGTTTAGGGTTTAGGTCTAGGGTTTAGGGTTTAGGGTTTAGGGTTTGCATCACCACCACCAACCCCACCACACCGCGGGGGCCCCCCAGCGCATGCAGAGAAAACCCTCGGGGTTTTAGCTGCTGCAGCAACTGGCTAGAAATTAGGGTTTAGGGTTTAGGGTTTAGGGTTTAGGGTTTAGGGTTTGGGGTTTGTAGAGCAGAAGCTGCAGCAGAGAGAGCGCCTGGGCCGAGGAGTGCTGCTGTTGCTGCTGCAGCAACAGTTGCTGCTGCAGCCGCTGCTGCTGCTGCTGCTGCTGCTGCTGCTGTGTCGTCTATCCAGACCCTTGTAGGCACACAGAAGCAGCAAAACTCACTGCAGCAGCAACTGCAGCAGCAGCAGCAGCAGCAGCAGCAACTGCAACTGCAGCAGCAGCAGCAGCAGCAGCAGCAGCATGAGGTCACCTCTCCCCCTTGACTTGCATGCAACACGAAC